TGCGTCATAAATATGTGATAGATAGGTACATGAGCAATGCAATATGTCTTGCAAGCGGATTATGCGTAAAGCCGTAAAGTATAGTGATTCGTTTGTAATACGTATTTACTCTGCCATGTATCTGCAGCAATGGAAAGCCTGTTCATGGCTACCTTTCACCGTTGCGCCTCCCTCGCTCGGCCCCTGGCTGCGTATGATCATCTGCCGTCCCGTATAATGCTGTCTGCGCGATGGGACGCTATCGGCTGATCTCCGTGTCTGTACCGCCTGCACGGTGGCTAGTGGCGGCACCACGTGAGCTGGCGGGGAGCCCGGGGTGGCTGTGTAGAGCGGTGACGGGGTCGGCTCACACCGTATCACTGTGTCCGGCCGGGCAGCCCCAGAGTCCGCCGCGCTTAGCGTGGTCAACGGTCCGGTCCCGGACACCGCACTGTGGGGGCGGGAGAGCTAAATCGCGGTGAAAGGCGCCTGCTTGAAGTACGATTATGTGCTATGGAATTGTCTAGGGACTTTACGTAGATGGTGAATGTCTGGGATGCTCACGTTATCTCATCAGATAGAGAGCTATTAGCCGGTTGAGAGTCTGATGGCGACCTTTAATGACCTGTAGGTGGACAATCCCAGCTGACTCAGTTCTTATGAGACGATTGCAAAATGTGTGTCATGTCATGTCATACTTGCGAATCAGTTTGCTCATTTTCCATTTCCTTCCTTCGAAATCATTCAGATTTACCTGAGTAATTCATGAACCTTCGGAACCATCAAGCCTGTTGGCGTTCAGAATGCATGATTGCAAACTGGAAATGGATATGACACTGCTGTCTTGCTTCTTGCACATGGTCTGCCAATTGTAAACCGTTTTTTTTTTTGTTTTTTTTATGTCATAACAATGTACGCGAACTGGAACGTTAATCTATCGAACCGTCAATGTCAACCTTCACCCGAGAGTTGCCTCTACCGTGTACAGCCGTTTTTTACCCTGCCTGACCGTCTCTCCCCCCCCCCCCCCCCTCAGCTCGGGAGGAGATCTCGCGCGCCGTCCGTGGCGTGGCAGCCGGCGTGTCGGACGGCCATCTTTGGTCCAGTGACGTCACCGAACGACTGGTGGAGCAGTGTCTGTACACGCGCGAGTCGCCGCGTCCCGACCTCCTCGTGCGCACATCCGGGGAGGTGCGGCTGTCGGACTTCCTCCTGTGGCAGGTGGGTCAGCGGCGGGGTCACCGCAGGGGCGCGCCCAGGCAGAGCAGGTGGGGAGGTCTATCGATGGGATGTTGGCAAAATGACGGGTGGGAAATGGGAACTGAGTGAGATCAACGTCATGTTTCTGTTTTTATTAGGAAACGATGGATCAAACGTTGAAATGTTTGAAGCATCCAATCTTAGAGTATACACTATACAGTACCAAACCCTTTGCAATCATTTGATAGTCATTTGCCTAATTTTATTTTCACTGAACATTAATTCGATTATCCTGTAGGTGCAAAGTATCGTTTTAAAGTATCGGCTAATATTGACACTTCACTGGCCGAGCTTACTGAGGCCAATTACCTGTCATCGGTGAATGATGTTACCGTTAACCAGACCGTGGAACGTTTTAAGGTATAATCCCTCTGGTTTTCAATGTTATCTTCTTTTTACATTCATGCTCGCTGTGTTATGCCGAGCTTTTTTTGTCTGAACTCAGCCATAAATTCAATCAACTGACATGACAGGGAACTTATTTTTCATTCGTATGTTCCGTGTGCGTCATTGTCGTAATCTGATATAATCGTTTCATTTATCTTCGATTGGCGTTTAAGGTTGTCACCGGTAGTGTTAAAGCGGCGCGGCCGTCATTCCCGATGGGGCTTATGATTCCATTTTCATGGATTAACTTAGCCTATTTTTTATGTGGTTTTGGTGCTAAGCTCTCAGTAATGAGCTTACCTACTTAGTCGTGATTTTTGATGTTCGTTATCATAAGCCATCTGATTCTTCCCTGATTCAGGGCTATTTTTGTGACATTGACTTAAGCTTGACAATGAAGGGACGTGGGTGGCAGGTCTGCAAATAGTTTCCCGTATTGCGCGGATTTTTTTTTTTTTTTTGTCGCCTGGTGCAGGGAGTTCAGCGAAAGAAGTGGCCATCTTTTACCAGTACTTATGGCTATATTTCATGGAATGGTGTGTGCTACTCATTTGCAATTAAAGTATTAAATGTCCTATGTTGCAAGGTAATATTTTCAATTAACGACGTGAAGCAACTGCAGCTTACGCAGTATGTTAGAGCGAAAAGGAAAAGAAGAAGAAAAAAGATGAAAGTGAAGGCTTCGTTCAATCTCTCATGCGTTCCTTATTATAAAAGTAATCTTGCGTTACATGGAGTGGTTGGCGAGGCCTACCGGTAAAGGCAAGACTTTTGGTCAGTCGTTGGCGTTGTTAAGAAGTATTCGGCTTGTAAATAAAAAACGTTATCATGGCAACTATACCTAAAGCTTTTTTATATCTGGCTCACTCTTTCTCTCACTCTTCTGCCCTCTTCCTTCTGTCCGTCCATCCGTTGTTCTTGCACCTGGTGACCAATGACCATCCTCAAATCCTTCTAATCATTTGAAGTCCGGGCACCCTAAAATCACGACTTATCATCAAATGCCTCCCTCATCGGCAGACGACGCACACGTGCATCTTCTTCACGGAGGTGCTGTGGCCCGACTTCAGCATCTGGCACCTGTTCTCGGCCGTGTTCTCCTACCAGCGCAACTATGACGTCATCCAGGTGAGCTCGCCGCTCTGATTGGCTGGTAGCCGCAGTCTCGGTTTTCGGAGGAAGGGTGAAATGCAGGCGTATCACAGAGAGCGGAGGGAACCCGAAGCAATTCACCGCTGTGCTACTTTGTGATATTTCGGCACGTGAGGAATGAAAGACGACAGATTGCAGCCCTTGTCCCTTTGCGTAATTTGTTGATTGGCATACCAATTATGTCGTTGTGTGTCTTCATTCAGTATGTAATGTTGAGCGTATAACATGACTGGAAGTAACACTGGGGCCGTCAAAAAGCACACTGTATGCAGATGACTGAAGGTGGCCTCAGTGTTCCCCCCGCTGACCGCTGACGTGTTCTGACCACAGGCGGCGCGGGCCGACCGCTCCCTGCGGCGGCTGCAGCACTCAACAGACGGCCTCCTCCCGGGCACCGCACGGCCCGGCGACTCCGAGTCTCGGCCCGGTGACTCAGCCGGAGAGTCACTCGACTCCACCGACTCTGGCTCAGAGTGTGCGGCCGACGACCGGGTCGACTCTGCCGGCCAGTCTGCCGCTGCTCAGAAGCGGGTGCAGTCGTTCCTCAGCCACCTAGACGCGGCGCGGTGGGGACGTCTGGAGAGTCTGGTGGCGGAGGGCTCGTGATGATACGCCGCGCGCCGCTCTAGGTTCAAATAGCTGCTGGCTCGGCTCTGGTGAGGAGAACGCCTCTGGTGCCGTCGTTTGGGTCGGTGACCGACCTGCCTCGCATGGAGAGACACACCTATGGACGGCGCCAGCCTGTGATGTACTGCGAGGCCGAGCTAAAATACGGCAGTCTGGACAGATACCGCACGGTCGGGCAGGACGGTGCCAGAAGGGGACCTGTTACTACACAAGGGGGTATGGTAGGAGCGTCGTTGTTGTGTTGAGGCCAAGGCGGTATTGACTGGTAACTTGTGGCAACTCGGGAATAGGCCGCTCTGGGAGGGAAAGCAGTAGCAATGGGAGAGGACAGCCAGTGATAACTGCCGCCCCGGCAATGATAAGGGGACTGAGACGGCCACCACAGCGAGACGGTAAGATATCATTATATTTGTCGACTGAAACGTGCCCTGATTATCAGATGATCTAGCTAGATGGCTGATATTATTGACGAGGAGTGTCCCGAGTGGTTTCACGCTGCGCAATGCACCCTTCCATAGGTCGTTATCGGTTGGTAGCGGATGGACAGTATGACTGTTACGTCGGACGCACATTTGGGGTGGGCGGAGCGCCAAAGGCCGGGACTGTAGGTAGCGAGCGGTGATGTGATGTGAGTGTGTGATCGCGCGGGACCGCCGGTTGTGAGGGCTTGCAGCACAGGAGCCAAACATTCCAGTACGGGGTTGGGTTGGGGCTTTCTGGGCGTATGGTGTATATACCCGGGAAACGACCAACAGTCTGTTAGAAGGCGAACGTTGATGAGCAGTTGCTGTTTGGGGACGCCCGTGCTTGCTGTGTGTTTGCTGCTGTGAGGTATGTTGCTTAGGTTGTGCTGGAGTGTGAGACTGAGGACCGAATGTTGTTACTTGGTGAACAGACCCGACCCCAATGACCATACTCTGATCAGCGCTCGGACCATGCCACTTTTGATGTGTTTACCTTAGCTAATGCCAGGATCAGCGTAGTCCGTGACCTGATACCCACTGGTTGAACCACTAGTTGATAGTATACCGTACAGGGTACCGGGGCATACTCCGAATAATTGTCCAAAACAGCGGCCATTTTCCTTTTTTCTTCGAGTGATTGGTTCTTTTGTCTTTGAGATTATTTGTGTTAATTCATGAAATGCGCATTAAGGTCAGTTAAATTTGTTTTGTTTTTGTTGTGCTTTGGGGCTCGAAGATAATATTTTTTCAACGTTGTTCGCTTGTTCAAATGTTGAATATTGCTGCCAATGTCGCACCCGAAATCACTGTTACCGTTGACATGATTGTAGTGGGTTTCCTCAGCACCAGTCGCCATATGTTAGGTATTTAAAATGTTCTTGCTACTATATCACATGGCCTGGACCTCAAAATCGCACGCTATTTACTTTACCGAGGTAATATTGGAATCTGAGGAGGAGCGCGGCGTCGCGTTAGGAATCCCACGTCTGAACTTGTGCTGGTGGCTGGCACAGGCCGGGGCGGGGTCATGGGTTAAGCTGTGTGAACTGTGGCAATGAGGAATCAGTGAAAGCCGACCTGATGTACCCCTGGTATTGTTACGGACAGATACAGTGAATGGCAACTCGTCTGTTTTTGAACCGGGGGCTGAAACGGGTCACATTTATTGGAAACTCGCACCAACTGGACAATAACAGACGTCTCTGAACAAGGCAATCATGTTACGTTCTATGCTGCTCGTTGTACAACAGCTTATCTTTGAACGGGCACACTGCGCGTACGCCAAATATACTCACTGCGAGACATCGCGCGGACAACTGTGATGTAGCACACGGTGTCTGTTTGAAATCACTCTGGCAGTAACGTCATGAAGTGGTACCGTGTTACACAGTAATGCATGCTCGTGCCGTTGAGGGCTCTCCTGCTGCGCCGCTCAGTCGTATCCGTGGTTCCTGCTCCGCAGCGACTGCACACTGGCATGGATGGCCGGGATAACCGGCACCGTCTCCCGCACGTTCAGCGCCACGTAGCAGCTGACCGAGAGCGCTGCCATCAGCACCGCCAGCGCCAGGCCGCACAGACAGTATACCAACGTGGCCAGCAGCCGCAGCCGGCGCCGGACCAGCGAGCCGCAGCCGCGCCGCTGCAGAAGGGGGTGTTCAGCCAGCTGCGCCTCCGACAGGCCCGAGAAGCGGCAGCGCGCCGGCGTGGCGGCCGACGGCGTCTCGTCGCGGCAGCACGACACCGGGATCGAGGCGTTCACGGAGACGTAGTCGCCGTAGCCGAGCACGCCGCAGCAGCGGAGGCAGCGCTGCACGGCGTGCACAGCTCGCCACGCCGGCTGCACGTCCAAGTCGTCGTTGTCGATGTTGCCGCGACGACGAATCAACTCCAGCGCGGCCAGCTCCGTGCGCCGGGGAGCGGAACGCTCTGACCAGATGACCACAGCGAGTGTAGCGATCAGGAGCAGCAGCAGGGCGCCCAGCACGCAGGCCTGGGCGAGCAGCAGCGAGCGGCTGCCGCGCGCCACCCCGCAGCAGCCCAGCAGGCCCACCACCACCAGCAAGGCGCCGGCTGTCGTCGCCAGGATGACTACCGTGATGACGACGGCCGTCAGCACCGCGGCAGGATCGGCGTCAGCGCTGGTCACGTGCCCAGCGCTGGTGGCGCGCAGCAGGAACGCGCAGTAGCCGCCGCCAGCGGCCAGCAGCACGCCCAGCAGCGTGAGCAGCACGTCCAGCCCGAAAGCGGCCAGCTTCAGCGCGCGCAGGACACTGCCGCTGCCCATTTTGGTGGGTGATGTTCGTTGAATGGTGAGCGTGATCTGAGTGGGGTCGACAACCGACGTGGAGGCTACTGACATGCCATGCAAACCAAGGAAGCGCTGCGCTGCAGTGTGTTTAGCTATCAACTATCATTTCAGTCGAGAAACTAGCAGATTATATCAAAACGTCAAATGGAAATAATACGAATCAATTCTCTGGATGAGCAGCACAGCATCAAGCTTTTCGACATTTTGCGGTAGCCGAGCAATAATTTGCACGATTTGCAATGCCTGCATAACAAGCACGTGCATTATCTAGCATGGTCTTCCACAGAGTATCACGACACAAGCCGATCGGCATGTGAAATCTGGGCGCTCGCTGACAGGTGTGCGATGATACCGATGCATTTCCGACAAAGGCATGTGGATACGAGTCAGTCGCAGAAGAGAACAAGCATTACGGGGTTTCTAATGTGACACTGACAGCAATACCTAGAAGTAATAATATGTGTACCTATGTCATGGGCAGCCTTTCAACTATTCTGTGCCGATATCTATTGGAGTTGCAACACGCAGCATCATCAACGAACACAACTTTATTTGGTTATGAATGAAATAACATCTGCAGATATAGAACATGCACGCTGCTGATGAAACACAATCAGATATCGAAAAACTTCGGACACGGTGCGGTGGTTGCTTTTTCAGAAACATATCACTTATAGGAAAAGAAACGAAAGGCACGACATCCCTTTTACATTTCACGTGGACGTTTGAACTACACAGCTCAAAGTTCACAAGCAATTTCGTCCCTTATGTTTTACCATTAGGATAAAGCTTCTGTGACGACAAAGGACGTCAATTCAATATGTCCGTTGGGATGCTCCTAATAAGCTACAACTTCGCAGTCTAGCACCTGTACTGTCCACTGCCCAGAGCAGTGAGCTTAGTACAAAACACACGTTCGCGATATCATGAAAGAACGCATGCATCACCATGTCCATCACAAGGCTACCTTTGGCATCATCAGGCGGACACCTCTCCACTTGCCGTCTGCGGCGTGAAGAAGCACTGCGCCTGCGCGGTGACCTCTGCACCCAGCTGCTCCTCCTCTCCACCCGGCATGAAGGCCGGCGTGAACTCTCGCAGGGCCAGGCAGACACGTCGGCCGGCGATATCCGAGCGGAGGATGCCGTGGAGCCACTCGTAGCGCGCTTCTGCCTGCATCACGAGCAGCGAGCGGGCCGGCATCGGCAGGCGCACCGTCGGGGGCCGACTGAGCTGGTGCCAGAGCAGCGGCTCCTGTGCCGACGGGGATGTAGTGGAGGGAGGAGTAGACGCACCCCGTGTGCCGCCGTTGGAGACTCTGCTGTTTTCACTAGAGATAACATTGGCGAGGTTGGGAGTTGCTGAGGCATCACCAGATCCGTTCTCTGTAGGCGCAGAGGTCTTCATTTTCGTCTCGTCTTCGTGGTTTGGCGAACCAGTGCTGTGAGGTTGGTTCGGCAGGTTGTACCTACATGCTGGTTCGTAAGTCATGTTATACTTATCCTGACCACCCGTGTACTTAACCATAGTGAGGACAGAGTCACTCAGAAGGCTCAGCGTTACGACCCGCTCGCCCCACACCCAGCAGTCATCGATATGTGGCGAGATGCAGGAGCCCTCATTAGCCTTGTACTCGAGGGAGCACTGCTCGATCGTCTGGTATCCCGCAAGCACCGGCTCGCGAGTAAGTCTCTCCTGAACGCGCCGACCAAACTCCGGAAAACCTTTGAATGAGCCCATCTTCAGCTTACGACGATTAAAATTCGTCTTTGGACCAAAGTTCTGCTTACGACGCCCGCTTTGCGACAGATCCCACGGAATCGCGTCAATGTCAGACATCAGCGAACGTTCCTCTTCTTCAGAGATGATGTCCAGGACGATATCGACACCGGGATAGTGGAGAGGGCGTCCCTCGTGGTGTGGGTGGGAGCGCCACGAGTCTCCGTCCCAGCCCGGCCAGGCGAGGCGGCACAGTGGGCAGAACACGTAGCTAGGAGCATCCTGGGGCCGAACGAACGGCTCGTAAGCAGTCGAGGAGAAAGGCTCACACCGAAAGCACGTGTTCTGCCCCTTGCAGCCACAGCTGGGGATGTTGGTCGCCATCTGACGCGGAGAGATACACAGCCGTGGTTCTGAAACACATCACCGATTTTCGTATGAGGCAAGATGTGAAACAAGTAAAGTTTTAAATAATTTTCGAGGGAAGGCTTTGCTTTGCAGTACATTTCACTATTGTGAGATATGAAACATTGTGATCATGCCAAAAATAAGTTATTTCTCGTGGTAGCATGGTAGCAATGGCATGAGGTCTGCAGATCCCAAGATGTTTAAGTTAATCTTAACAATAACGAAGAGCCATGCCACTAACCGACATCAACAAAGAAAAGATTTACTCGTAAGAAAAGCACATTAACCGTGACAAGCACCAAGCAAGCATAAAGCATGCGCCCTCACCCAGCTGTTGTGCTGCGCCATGCAGCAGCAGGACCGTAGAACCACGTGTTGGAACCGGGTGGAACCCACCCGACCCCTGTCGCTGCTTAGTCATGTCACCTCAGTGAATCAACCTTCTGACAGCTGGCTGGTAGTCATAGGTACCCGTAACTCTGCCCTTCCGTCCAGCAGAGAGCAGCGTGTGGCACGGACGACGTGACTAGAGGTTCTACATATCGCCATGTGGTGTTCCTCGTGTCCCATGGGTCCAAGTCAGGAACCACAACAAAAAGAAACGTTAGGAACAAAGTGTATTAAACTTGATTAACAAAACATCTGCGCCTGACGCAACACAACGGAAGACTTCACATGAATATACATACGCTATAGGTACACAACACACTCAATGAACACACAAATCTGCGATAACCGATTCATGGAGCCTGGATTGGACTCAGCATCGATCGCGTCACGGCCATGGACCCTGGATTGGGCTCAGCTTGGATCGCGTCACGGCAACCCAGTCTTTGGGGGCTATTTCAGCCTACTGCTCGCTCACGGTAAGCTTGTAACTATGAGCCGTGTTGTCCCAGTAGTTCAGCACGTACAGCCTGGCTCCTTGGAGGCATATGCCCGACGGCCGGTTTAGCTTGTGGGACGTCGATACACACCCTCGAGGGGTCCCATCCGACGCGAAGACCACGATGCGGTGGTGTTTCGAATCCGCCACGAGCAGGTTGCCGGCAGCGTCGAGCGCCAAGCCTGCCGGGTCGTAGAGTCGCGCTCTAGGACCGACATCTTCGCCAACTCGAGCCACTAGACGACCTTCCCAGTTCAGAAGGAGCACCACGTTGTTACCCAGGTCGGTAACAGCGAAGCGCGTCTCACTTGCCGCGACGAAGTAGAGCTTCGACGTTTCTGGCTGGCGGACATGCTGAGAGATGTCGACCGAGTGCACGGGACGACCCTCGCCAGATGGGCTCGCGTCAAACACGTGCACCACCGGCTTCCCCCTGATCGCGTCGACGGTCACCAGCCGTTCGCTGCTGGTGACGGCTAGTCCGAACGGCCGCTTCAGCAGACCACCACCCAGGTCGTAGAGCAGGCGCACTTGCCCCTCCGACGGCACGGAATACACCCGGACGCCCGAATCAAACCTTACGGCCAGCCGGTCCTCGCTCAGTACCGCCAGGGCCGAGGGTCGCCGTAGCGACGGGATCGGCGACTGAAGCTCGGCACCTGAGTCAGAGAAGGCGCGTACCTTGTCGTTTCCCGTGTCGGCAACGTACAGAACATCGCCTTTTGCAGCAACCCCGATCGGGTGCTTGAACAGAGGAGTTGGACGCAGCAATAGGTCCAGTTTCGCGGAGACGGAGCCCTGAGCAAGGTTAGGTGGCGCAGCAGCCGCCGCCTCCAGATCGTCGGATGTGACCCTCACGGTGCGAAGAGGACGTGGAGCAGTCACGCGCACCTGAGACTGTTTCTGTGGCGGAGCGCGCTCACCACGACCGGAGCCTACCGAATCTGCCGAACCGAGAGCCTCACTGGTCCCCGCGGACTTTGACACTGGTGTCTGGCTTCTGCTCGGCAGCTTCTTCGCACTGCCCTGATCGTCACGTTCTGTGGCCACACCTTTGTATTCATCCCACTGTCGGCCTGGCTCTCCGTACGATGCGACGCCTTCACCCTTCCCCACAGGACTGCCGCCGGGGATATCAAAAGCCCTACGGAACTCCTCTACGACCTTCTGGGTGTTCGACTCTGTCACCAACCTTTCAGGACTGCTGGACTTGCTGTTCTGCTTCACGGTGACCTGTATGACGGGCGCAGCAGAAGCTTCAGGTACAGTGGACACTGGCCGCCGGAGACTGTCGATCGGCTCACCGGGGATCGACATTCGACTGAAGTCAGCCGACAGACTCGTGGTGGTAGAATCGGCGACAGAGCACGGCCTAGCCTCCACGTCAGGTGGCTTGGATAGCCCAGCACTGGCACTCATGGCCGCACTCCGAGCAGAGCTTTGCAGGGAGCTGGACACTGCGCCAGCGACGGTGCTCTTCTTCAGAGGTGGCGGAGCTACAGGCCTTCTGACCTCACGCTTAGCGCTCTGGACTGGACCGTCCCCCGATCCGCCGCTGACAGCCGAACCGTCCAGCGACCGCATCAGAGCGGCGCGGATCCTCGTGGCCGTGTCATCATCGTTGGGCACGTCACGCTCGGTCTTGTCTTTGGATCTCTCGTTTTCCTCAGCGTTGAACAGATGAGCGTTCCAGTCGGCGGACTCACCGTTGTTGTTGTTGGGATCTAGGCCTGTGTGGCGGGGCAGGCGCAGCCGACCACTCCCCGCCTGCGGGCGGCACACCGGCCTAGCCACGGCGCCACCCTCGACAGCCATGAGAGCCTGCGCGCTCGGCTGCGAGATCTCCCGTTCCAGACGGGCGCGCATCCATCCCACAAAGTCGTCGCCCTCGTAATCGGCCACGTCTCCTAGGGAATCCACCGTTTGCGACGACGAGTCTTTCACCGTTGCGCTGCAGGTAGAGCCTGCCACACGGATGCGCATGGGACTGCCATTGATATGCACGCTGTATAGGTAGACGGACACCACGTGTGGCCCCGGGGCTGCGGCGCGAAACGTAGCCGAGAAGCACCCGTTGTGACCGTCCACCCAGACAACTTCTGTGACTTCCTTCCCATGTTCGTTCAGCACACTGTACGACATGTGGGTTACAGTGGCCGCATCATAAGGTCGCTCACTCTTTGCGCTGAACGTGACAGCCAGCCCATCGGCTGCCACCTCCTCTAGCGTGAGGTCTGTCGGACACAGTGAGCATGTCTGCAGGTAACCCACAGCTAGCCTGGAGCGAGCCCAACGGTCCGGTGGCACTTCGCGGAACGTGAAGTGCAGCAACTGATCGGGCTGCACCTCCCGACTCTCGGCGATGTACCTCTCGAGGACATCTGTCACGGCCGGCGCGGCGGCGGCGGCGGCCGGGTTCAGCCGAAGGGCCTCCAGCCGCTCCAGACTCGTGTGCAGTCCAACCGACGCGCGCCGCACCACGGCTAGCTGATCCTGCAGGAACTTGGCCTTGTTCACAAACTGTACGTCAATCACCTGCCGGAAGGCCACCTTCCAAGTGGAGACGGCCTCAGTGTGACGCGTGACTGCATCCTCCAGTGCACGCTTCGCCGCGTCCTGGTTGCCCTGGAGGATGCAGAGCACGTTTTTAAGTTTATCGGCACGCGCTTGGTTCTCGCGGAGGACCCGCTTCGCTCGTGCCGCGGCGGCGTCCAGAGGATTGCTCTCGTCGGTGGCAGAGTCCATCGTCCGGCTGTGGTGGTGGGAGGCAGCAGCAGACTGTTAGCCATGCAGCAGGCAAAACCCAACACCAAACTGAGATAAGTGTGTACACAAACATTCAGTGGTTCAGTTACCCTTGTGCCAACATACAGAGGTGAGGGAGAGGGTATATAAGCATGCATGTCAAATGCCACCACAGTAGATTAAACCCACCAAAAAGCTGCCAAGTATAAGGTATGAGAATGTGCTAGGTTTTGTTAGTTCATTATTCATGTCAATGCTGTCTCTTAAAATAGGAAGCAAGCTAGCAATTAATCTCATTTGAACACCAACATTGTAGATCTAAATACAAAACAAAAACAAGAAATGTAAAAAATGTGAAGGAAATGATGTCCCTGGAGAGCTTTTGAAAACACCTATGATCAAATGAATGAATGATGAGGTGTTCTTAGCCTTAGCATGCGTGGGTGGGCATTTTTGGCCATGCCAGCCAGTTTCCAGTGCGTGTAAAGAAAAATGTGGTGCACAGCAATGCAAAATTTAGCGTGGCTTATCATATATTGATTTTGCATAACATGCAGGATTTTTGACCCCAGGTCACCTTAAGTGAACATGCCTCAAAAAAAAAACAAAAAAAAAAGTTTTGGGCATATACCCATCAGAATTTTGATACAGGTCATACTGCTCTAAAATTCTGTTGGTAAAAAGCTGTAGCTCACAAAAAAACGAGCAGCGCGTGTTTTTAATGAACCATTGGAAAGCAAAATGGCATAAAACTGGAACTTCATTTCATGATTCCCCTTGATTTCTTTTTCAATTTGAATTGAGTTAGAGCGTGATGGTACTGGCATCCCTAGCGATAAAAAACGGATAAGGCTCGCGAAAGCACAATAAATCTATGGGCAAAATCATTCACATCAACACCAAACAACCAACAAATAAACGTAAAACCAATTTGAATTACCGACACACAACCCACACCCACCTGCCACGTGCGCCGTTTTGTTCGGGTGAGACTAAATGCTTACTTCGAAATCTAAGCTGCGTTGCGGCATTATTGGCGGTTGTGTACGGCGTGTATGCCGCATGATTAGTAAGCGGCGACCACTAAATTAAAAACTCAATAGCTTTGACCTGTTTTCAATGGATAACACTGCATACCAAAAATGTCCATCGCTCTCGTCATAGGATATTTAGATTTAAATAACTGACTTATCTACATCATTGTTTTGAACCAAATTAATACTTTCAACTTGACCCTCGCCCGTATTGGTGTTTTTCCAGCCGCGAACGTATAAGGTATAACCCCTTGCCGTTTCGCTCCTGATCAAGCTAGAGCTTCGCGGAAAAAACGAGCGTGTTGCCCGTGGCGAGAGAAAGCCGATGATACCCAATTTTAAGGTCCTAGGTCATCGGTTGACCTTCCAGGTCAGGTCAATGACCCAAAAGGCGGGAAAATTGGGACCTGTTAGAACGTCGTAGTGTGGCTGCTATGGGGTTTTTCGGGGTGCTGATCACGAATATCATGCTAGTTTTGATCACAGATGATGTCTTCATTCATTTAGGCCAGGTCAGGTTAGGTTAGGTCAGGTCAGGTCAACCAGTAGAGGTCCTGCCGGGTATTTGTGGTAGGTGTCAACCCCCTCTGACAGCCTCGTAACATGTTACGAAGGCACCAAAACTACTTTGTAAACGTTCATGTGGTTGCTTAATTCGAATTCAGCTCGAAAAACTGGCCTAGAAACATGTAAAACTCGAAAAAGTGAACCGAGGTCACCAAAGGTCAATGACCTGACCTGACCTTCAGGTGACCTTGACACCCACCCTAATGCATGGGGGCAACATCATATCACATGTTTGAACGCTTGAAACCACGAAAAGACTGCAAACGCGCTGCTAATGTGAGCCGACATACGCTGAATCGCGGTTCCGGCCAAACATGGTCTTGAAAAGCAGGTCACAGGTCAAAGGTTATTTGCGTCAGGGTCATGAAATTTTCAGGGTAGGTGTAAAATTAATCAACGCGAGGGTACTAAAAGTTACGTCGTGATCGGCCGCTTTTTACGCGAGTTATTTGCGAAAAACCGAGGGGAGTCCGTTCGACCCCCCCCCCCCCCTAAAGGGCGAGGGTTAACTCACAGTCCGAACTCAGAACAAGTTCGATCTTGTTTGCGAATTTGTCGGAGCATCACCTAAATCTAGTAGAGATGATGGAGGGAAACTAGGCTTTTAAGGAGGGAAGGGAGTCGGTGACGGTCAGGGGCACTACAAGGTGGTGACAGGGCTGACATACCATGTTTTGATAGCATGACTGAAACAGACTTTTTGGGTTGCCAGGAAATCGCATGCGAGAGCCTATTGAAATTCTTACATCGGCCTTTATATGCACCAGTCGTATACAGGTGCGGGATTTGGCATACGATTTCCAGACAATCGAAGTACTGTTTGGAGCCAACGAAGGAAGGAATGAGTGAGTACTAAGTTGAAAGCATTAATTTGGTTCAAAATGATGATGCAGATAAATTAGTTATTTAAATCTAAATATCTTATGACGAGAGCGATTGGCATTTTTGGTATGCAGTGTTATTCATTGAAAACAGGTTGGAGCGTTCAAGTCTTTAATTAGTGGTCGCCGCTTACTAATCATGCGGCATACACGCCGCACATAACCGCCAATGCCGCAACACAGCTTAGATTTCGAGGTAAGCATTTAGTCTCACCCTTTTGTTCCACGCTGAAGTGTAAGCTGCTGCTAAAAGACGCAAGTTCAAAGGACACAGGCATTGCTATAAGTCACGTGATTTTTATCAAGCATGCTCATAAAGACATACAATTTTATGTATATCAGAATCTGTACAACCTACATTTATTTTCGTATTGTTTAACATGCTTAATGTATTCTCCTTGTAGATTTAAAAAAATGAATTAAATAAGAAATAGTGCATGGAAGCAGATGCTTATTTTAACGAATCACGAGCAGAGTCGCGCTACAAGTGGCAACTGTTTCTATACATTTATGGCGCGACAGTTGATCGTCTTGCTTGCCAAGGTAAACTGAAACGTTGTTATAGGAACTACCAAAAGTATTTTTTATATATTTCAGTAGTTAATTGGAACAATAATAACCCAAATGACAGAACAATTAAAGAAGTTCAGGTTAAAAAGTGAATTTTGTCAATTGTCATTTTAGGGCATGATCGTGAAAGCTGCATTGAAGTCAAATCAAAATGATGCTTTAGCTTTGGATTGGAAATGGACCCATTCCAATTCTTAAGTCGGAAAATTTATTCATTTTATTTTTTATTTATTTTGTCCGAACGTTTTGAATGAAGGGATTCACACGGACATAGCCCCTGCTAAGCGGAGCTTGTTGCGTTGCTGCCCTCTACCTTCCGAACATGCAATTCCTTGTTCATGGCAGAATTCAGAGTCCAAGGTTTAATGTACGCACTAAGCTGCGTCACTGGGTGGCCGCTCCACCTCTGAGTTTGGACTCAGTGTGGCTCGCCACTCGCCAATTCGAGTACACAACAACCGGGGCAGGGACGTCTCGTCCCGGAATTTTTTCCAGAGCTGCCCGCAGGGCAAATCTGCTGCTAGCTCGATCAGCATGCCGATTAATTTTGCTGACCATCTTTCGCCAAAGAACTCCATGGAGCCGCCCTGCGCCAAAAATTCAGCCGCCACTGTGCACTGAATTCGGCGCATGCGAAGTTATGCCGGACGTGCGCTGAAATTTTCGGCGCAATCCCGCTATTAGGCCAGACATATTTGGCATAACATGTATTTTTTGCAGTCTGGTCAGGAGGCTCATAAACATTGAGCACCCATCACGCTCAAACCTGGACTGTTGTAACCAGGACCATGTGCTCTCACCATGCGGAGTCCAATGCTCTACCAACTGAGCTACAGGACCGGCCCCAGTGCTGCAGCCTGGAAACGAGGCCGCTTTCTGGTCCCTGCGTTTTATTCTCCGGGTGGGTTAATCCCGTCCAGCGTTAAGCCTTTCGGGACCCACTCAGGGTAGCGGTTGTTTTCACCACTCACCCCAGTCGAGATGCACAGTTAATAGTCACACGAAGCTTATTTAGGGCCAGCCAAACCAGCCTAGTCTGGAGTTGCTCCTAAATATATGCATATAGATAAAAGAAGTAGGTTTTGTAGAATCGATTGATTTCAAAGTCGTACATTCAGATGCCCCGAAAAAACTTCATGTGACTATCAACTTTGCATCTCGAATGGGCCGAGCAACTGAGAATGGACAACCGCGGCTTTGAGAGGGTCCCGAAAGGCTAAGCGCTTGACAGGGTTAACCCACCCGGAGAATAAAACGCCGGGACCAGAAATCGGCCTCATTTCCAGCACTGACTGGCTCATTCAATGAATGCTATTTAAAGCATTTGTTAATAATTTCTGAACTGATACTCTATTCTCACTGCTGTTTTTTTCCTCCAGTAGTGTTCTCTGCCTTGAGCAAAACTAAGTATTTGGTGCAACTACCATTTTTTGTTTGCTTACATCTGATATTGGCCGAGGCCTGCAGACTGGACGTGTGTTGAAGAGTACCAGTTTCAACCCATCCTAGTTTGTGACCTTCAAAGCGCTGTTTCATGGCATAGGTACTTGTTTGATGGTATTGGGTATTGACACTTTTGTTTCTGTGGAAACAGAGTCATCCCATGACTTACAAAAATCAGCTCATAGGATTGTGGATGAGCCTTGAAGACAGCTGTTTTAAGAGCAGCCACAGGAATATTTTGTGAGAAAATCAGCTTTTTGTAGGCTGTACAGTAGTCAATTTATGTGGCACCAATAATTACGAGCGAGCGAGCGCAGCGAGCGAAGCGAGTCTTTTCAATATAACGCAAAAATCTCAGTATTAGCGGCCCGGCCCGGCCCGGCCTGTAACGCTTTTGAGAGGCTTATATCTCAGCAACCGCTGGACCGATTGGCCTGCGGTCTTTTTTGCTGGGTAGCCCCATCCCTTCTACCCCGTAATTGACTACTTTTGATGCATCTCAGTGACCGTCGTGGCACGTGCCACGTGAAAAGTCAAGGGTGTTCAAGCTGTTTTGCAAAAGTATTCATTTTGAGAGGCTCATATCTCAGCAGCCGCTTGGGCGATTGAATTGCGGTAATTTTTGTAGGGTAGCAGCATCCCTTCTACCAAAAATAGGATACTCTCGATGCATGTGGGTCACCCCCAGTGCACGTGCAAAATACAACAATAAGAGGTGTCAACTTTGTTCCCATTTTAATAACTCGGTAATTACTGGGGCGATTTCGCTGAAACTTGGCATACAGGTAGGCACCCACCAGGCAATGCATTCCCATGTGTTGCGGTTAAGGTGCTACTGCACGTGCGCACGTGCAGGGGGCGCTTCCAGATCTCGAGAACGACTGGGCCGATTGCGCTCAAATTTGGTACACGGTTGGAGACCGGTTAGTAGGGTGCCGTGCAAAAGTCAGTTTGGACCACGTTTGCACGTGCGCACGTGCAGAATGCCGCTTCCAGATCTCAGGAACGGCTGGGCCGATTGCGTTCAAATTTGCAACACCGCTAGCGACCGGTTAGAAGGGTGCTTTGCGCAAGCCCGTTGGAAGTACCCTCTCGCTCTTCCGCACGTGCAGGGCTCACTATCTCGCTCGCTCGTTCTTCGCCCAAAAGGCGTTTTACTGGTATTAAATTGAGAGAAACATGTATACCTATACATGTATCATTTTTGCATTGTGTGCGATTTTTTTTTGGCACCAGGTCACATAGGTCAAATCACCAGCTCAGGTTAAGTTTGTTCCTCATATTTCTAGCTTGCTTAGTTTTTGAGTAAACTGGGTGTGACCAAATGTGCACCACCAGGCTCCCTTTCCTGGTGAAGCTGGTTGAGACCCCAGCCAGGTATGGGGGCAAATGACTTCAATTGATTAGTAATTATTAAACCACTAATTGCTCATTTTGGAGCTGGATATGATAACATTAGTATTACGCTTTACATGTTCCAGTGTTGTGAATAAGTGACATACCTCAAGCTATAAGAAGTGGGCAGCCATGCTTGAGGACAACAGTTCTTCAGATGAAAAAATCTCAGCCATGCTCCTGTCTGACCCATGCTATCGGAAGTATGCTGCTCTGAAGAGAAGATGTCAGGCTGTTGACCAGGTAATTTGATACATACAATTGTTTTCGTTATAAACTGGTGGAGTTCTCTGTTACAATAAGATAAAGGCATTCTGTTTGTCATCCATTTACAAGACTTGGCTAATGAGATGTTGTATAGATTTACCGTTCTTTCCATCTGCAGGAGAACCAGCGGCTGGTGGGCCGCGTGTACCACGTGCAGCGCCAGGTGCGTCTGGCGCGCCGCCAGTGCCGGCTGGTGGCCGCCCGGCTGGAGCAGCACGGCGACGACTACTGTGTGGCGGCGCAGCGCGCGGCCGACGCCGAGCTGGACGTTCGGGACGACGGAGGCGCGCCGGGCCGACGGGCCGCCGCTGCCGAGACGGTCAGTGGCGCGGGGGGACTTGGGGCAGTAGGTGGGAGGCCTGTAGGTCAGAAGAGCTGAATGGGTTGCGAGAGGCGTTATGTTGTTTGACGCTAAGTATGTGTAGGTGAATGATTGGGTCGTGGTTGGGGTGCTGAAGGTCGGGTAGGGTGGGGTTAGGTGGTTTGGTAGGCACTGAGCGACTGTGACAGTTAAGGGGTTTTGGAGAATATAATATGAGTGTGTGCGGCACTCTTGCCAGGGCTAGATCTTTGAGCATGCTCTATGAGACCATGAGTAGTAGCGGCCCTGCAGTGACTGATATTGTATAATATCGTATTGCATCGACGCCTCTGACTGGTATCGTACGATATCGTATGGAACTGACGCCTCCGTCTGATCGTATCGTTACATGCCGCCGTTACAGGTGCCCAAGTCTCGGCTGAAGTCTGAGAAGAAGCCGAAGCGCCGGTTGAACGAGCCGAAGCGGCCCTCGAACCCGTTCTTCCAGTACTGCCAAGAGCAGCGCGGCCACATGCTCTCGCAGATGAAGGGACAGGTGAGGGATTTATTTTTATGTTTGAAGCACGTAACGATATAATCCATACAGACAGGGCCGGTGTCGATTACATCAATCGGCGTTAATCAGCTGACTAGACCGGGGTGTGTGCAGCTGTCTCGGATCGTCTGACCGGGTGCTGTGATCACTCGTTGATCGTTTTACCTATGTCGTGTTCTCAGAGTCCCGCCGGAGTGACGAAGGCGGGCGTCACCAAACAGCTGGCGGCCAACTGGAGCCGCATGTCCGCTCAGCACAAACAGGTGGGCCTGGCGTCAGTGGCGCTGTAACGGTGTTACAGCTAAAACGGAATACCGCTATAATTACTTCACTACCGTAACGCCATGAACATCGCTGTAACGCTATAAGTAACTGAGCAATTTATATGCTACGCGCCAAAGGAATCCACACATCGGGGCATTAACGATCGCCTTGAAAGAAATCGACTCGGGTTTGTAAGCTCTAAACCCATTTTTGATTAAACGCGGCAGTTTCCGTACTTTCCCGTCTCCCCTAAACTCGTCCTACTTGTCACCGAAACTTTTATTGCTCTCCACTCTCCAGCCCCGTACAATTCTCCTCTCTCGCCTCTGACGCCCTGTTTCTCCTCTCCGCGCAGAAGTACGTGGAGCGATACGAGGAGGACAAGCGACAGTACGCCATCGCCATGCAGAAGCTGCAGAGCGGCGGCACGCAGGGTACCTCCGGACCGTCGTGAGGGACATCTCCGGACTTAAGTCGGTAGGCTGAGGGCCAGAGCGCCCAACGATTGTAGTTTGCGCGTCAAAACAGTGTCTGAAGGTCGATCACCAGACTGCGGCCGGCGGACATCCTTAAAGGGACTGTCCCACCTTTGCATTAGTTCTGAGTTGAGATAGCCAAGTTGGCGGCCAGGTTCAGAAACCACTATATATCCTGGTCGCAATATCCTCAGTTTCGTGGTGTTAAAGAAATTCGTTTCCTTCATTTGAAAAGTGGGCCTTAGCTAAGGCCCTATCTCTTAACTATTAACGGCCATTTGATGACGTCATTTGCATTTTGAACGCCTGTCACGCATGTGAAGTTTCACTTGATTTACGAATAAGCTAATCAGAGACACTTGTTATTGTATGAGCCGCGTCATATTTGAGAGCAAATACCTAGATTTGCTGCCAAATTTCCCCCACATTGACATGAAGTAAATCCTTCATTACGTCACAGATCCGATCTAAATGACGTCACGATGAAATATAAAAGTCGCAATATCTCAAAAAGTATACAATGAAAACGCGTAAAAACTTGCAGAAGTACAATATCATGAGTAACATTTCCGAATCCTAAATGGTACTTTTTTGAAGGTGGGATAGTCCCTTTAAAACACAAATGTGATCGTGATGATGGATCTGTTCAACTAGGCCAGACTACAGTCACAGTCTACATAGTGCCTCCTGGTCTGCTCATGAGTGCGGTCTGAAGTATCTAGTCTAAGGTCTGACAAGTATATGTTTACCAGTACCATTCTGGCGTCCAAAGGCAAAAAGACGTAAGCGCCACGAACATAATTTTACAGGAGAGCTTTTTTAGTGTTTTGCAATGGCCTTGTGAAAAGAAAAAGTGATACCGAGTTTAGTATCATTAGGACCGTCATAGTTTAGCAAATCCATGTGTTGCATTTTTTTTACATATAACTTTATCCGTTTTCTCATAAATCAAAAAAATGCTTTCTTCTATGGCTGGCGTAGTTGAGTTCGGTCCAACGTAACTGGCAAAAAGACGTAAGAAACATCTAAAATTAACGCTGGACGTTTGCGTCTTTTTACCGCTTTCTCCCTAGTGCTGAAATCTTAGACACAAAAAGGAAGATTAGCGTATTTGGGCAGATACGTTTTTTACCTTGGCCGCGGATGTTGAACAACACACGATGGCACCGACCAAAAAGCCGCATGTCCCATGTACGTCTTTTTTCCTCGGCCGATCTCTGAACAATTGTGGTAGTTTACAAGCCGCCGGGTGGTAACCAGCATGCTGTTTTGATGACCAAAAACAATTCATTCATTCTCATTAATTTATTGTGGAAAACGGCGTCAGAAAACGACAGCGACGGCGAATGAGCTGTAATTCTGCCGTACAAAGCTGAAAAAGCGTATCTCGCATTTAGCAAGTTTTACAGGAGAGCACTTTTTGTCTTTTGCTCAATTAATTGAAAACCAAATGGCCAATCACCATAAAACTGATATCATGATATTCCTTGTTACACGACCAATCTCATTAGTGGCGTTATACACGAGAATTATATTGTTAATTTGATATAAACGTCGAAGAAAGTAGATACGCTTATTTCACCTTTGTTCGGCTGATGCCAATGCAGATACGCTTCAACCGTATGTACAAACAATGAGCGCATCTTCGTTTCTTGTCTTCGATGCACGAAGCATATCTACGCCGATTCTGTAAAATTCATTGAAAGTGCAATGAATAAAAAACGTATCTACGCAGATACGCTTTTCTGATGTGGCACAAAGGTATTCTGAATATCAGATACGTTTCTTCATTTTGCCTTTCTATGACCGGAAGTGAAACATTTGCGCTACCCAGGATTATTCTTCTCCTGAAAAATCGTTTATTGCAAATTTATACTTCCGTCAATATGTGTTGTCAGCCTCATAAGCCACCGAAACAACAGCTTTCAAAAATCAAAACATGTCCATGTATTTCACACGAAAGAGAAAAATACAAAAAAAGCAGGTCCATGCAGTTCACACGGATTAAAACAATGCTGCTTGCACTAGAACCTTCAGGAAACCGTTCAGTTCTTTTTCACAGGGTTTGTGAGGTAACTGAACATGAATGTCCCCTTTTAGTGCTAATGACCTTCACGAAATAAAAACGGCTTTCTCCTTAAAGCATGTACATGAACACACCGATGGTACTAATACATGCTCCAAGAAAAAGGTTTCTTTCGCCACATCCTATGCATGCGCATACTTTGTTCACCCAGTTAGGTCACGGCTCCCTGGTCGCGCCTCGTCGCTCAGCTTCTTCCAGAAGTGCCTTTTGTGGAGAGGCATCAGGGGAAGCAGGGTCTGACAGATTCTCCTTGTTCACTCCCCTCGGTCCACTCCTTCTCGCTGGAGCCACAGATGGATCGTACGTGGCTTTGACTATGTCAAAGCTGCGCCACTGTTCATCGCTGTGCGACGTCTTCATGTAGACCTTCTCGGTGCCTCTCCTCACCTGGATGACCCTCACGGTTCGTAGATTGGGTCGCAAACCCTCGCGTCCCAGGAGAGTCAGTTTCGACCTGCTGATTCCATCTTCGAAATCGAAGAAGTCAGCGGGCAGCATCGTTTTGCCTCTCATTCCAGCAGCCTCTACGAGCTGGGTGAAGTCGGTGAAGTCACAGACTTCTTTGATCTTTGCCAGTCGTTTTTGTACTACTTGTTGTGCGGCATCCGCACTCATTGACGTGTGTCCAGGTTCCAGGAATTTTATCGTCACAGTTTGGACAGCGTTGTCATTTTGATGCACGAACGTCATCAGCACTGTGATTAGTGTCCATAACTTGTTCTGAGCTGAACAGTTGTCTACGAAGAGGGTGATCTTCGCCTTATCTCCGTTCTGAGTCAGAAACTCCCAGCAAGTGGCGGCGACATCCTCGCAGTCACGCCCCGAGACCCCTTCGTGCCAAAGAACGGCTAGTGGCTTTTCTTTCGCCTTGTGACCCTTTTCTTTTTTCTCCAGACGAGCGAATGTCTCGTTGAATGCGACTAAGCGCGGCGTGAAGATTGCTGCCTTGTGAGGGAGTATTGGCAGGAGAGATATCTTCATCAGATCGGTACTGTATACAGCCTCGTCATCTCTTCTTTCGCGGTCTGCAGCTTGCCGGTACTCGGCTCTGCCCTCTGATGCCCGTTTCAGATGTTCTTCGTGGTCGTCACACTCATTACAGACATCACATTCATCGCTGTTGTCGTTGTGCTCAGCTGTTTTCAGGTGGTACAACTGACGCTTGCATATCTCGCACTCTTCGTGGCCCAGCGCCGTGAAGCCGATGTTCATAGCCTTTACCTCCTGCCGGTACCTTTCGTAACTGACCTTGTAGTATTTCGCTTCGAAGTCGGCGTGCATGTCACGAATAGTGACGTCACTTGGCAAGTACCTCCTGTTGGGCGCGTTGAGATAACGGTAGTGTGGGCTGCACGGTTGAAACGTTTCGATGTGGTTACGAAGATCGTCAGAGTTCAGCTTGTTCCCAGGGCTTTGTTCGCCTCTGCGGTCTTTCTTGGCTCCCGTGTTTGTCGCCAGAGCGTTTCGAACCGACTCGTCATTGTTACCCTTCCTTCCCAATGTGGTAAGGAAGAATGCCTTGCAAACATGCACAAGATCGTCGCCACTTGGCAAGTGCCATTTCAGTGTTCGTTGTTTCTTCTGATCACCCTGACCACTCGTCCTTCTGGCCACCTCTGCTGTTTTGACGTGCGCTTTGAACCAGAGTGCCTGCGCCCTCCAGTCTAGGCTGCATACAGATTCGTTTACGAACCGTCTCTGTTCTTCTGATATTTTTGAAGCACATTTCAGGCGGCACTGGTGCTTTGCACAGTTTTCTGGAATGGGTAAGACTGACCATTTTCTTGAAGGGGGCTGTGATCCAGGTACTGTTTCGTTCTGTGCTGCGAGACCAGCATTGCTGGGTCCTGCAGTGGCGGCGGGGCCGGTGCCTACGGTGCTGGCGGGACCGGGTCCTGCGGTGCTGGCGGTGAGGGCGGGACCGGGTCTCGCGGTGCCGGCGGTGCCGGGTCCTGCGGTGCCGGCAGTGAGGGCGGGACCGGGTCCTGCCGTGCCGTCAGTGAGGGCGGTGCCGGGTCCCGCCGTGCCGGCGGTGCTGGGTTCTGCGGTGCCGGCGGTGCCGGGTCCTGCCGTGCCGGCGGTGCCGGGTCCTGCCGTGCCGGCGGTGCCGGGTCCTGCCGTGCTGGTGGGGCCGGGTCCTGCGGTGCCGGTGGGGCCGGGTCCTGCCGTGCCGGCGGTGCCGGGTCCTGCCGTGCCGGCGGGGCCGGGTCCTGCGGTGCCGGCGGGGCCGGGTCCTGCGGTGCCGGTGGGGCCGGGTCCTGCCGTGCCGGCGGTGCCGGGTCTCGCGGTGCAGGCGGTGCCGGGTCTCGCGGTGCCGGCGGGGCCGGGTCCTGCCGTGCTGGCGGTGCCGGGTCTCGCGGGGCAGGCGGTGCCGGGTTCTGCGGTGCTGGCGGTGCCGGGTCCTGCGGGGCCGGGTTCTGCGGTGCCGGGTCCTGCGGTGCCGGCGGGGCCGGGTCCTGCCGTGCCGGTGGGGCCGGGTCCTGCCGTGCTGGCGGTGAGGGCGGGACCGGGTCCTGCGGTGCCGGCAGTGAGGGCGGGACTGGGTCCTGCCGTGCTGGTGGTGCCGGGTCCTGCGGTGCCGGCAGTGAGGGCGGGACCCGGTCCTGCAGTGCCGGCGGTGCTGGGTCCTGCTTTGCCGTCGGGGCGGTCCTGGGCATCTTAGCGGAAGGCTCATAGTCGGCTTCATCTAAGAAAAAAGCGGTACAAGGTTGTCAAAGACAGTAATGGTTTCGGATGCTGGAAGACCTCTCGTCAGTCCAAAGACAGTAATGGTTTCGGATGCTGGAAGAACTCTAGTCAGTCCTGAATTTCAGATGAAAAAAAGGTTAAACAGCGTTACGGAATGTCAATGTTTAGATTCAACTAACGATTAAAAGGTTGATTCCTAAAAATTCCGGCTTGCTTGCAGGCCCAGCAGCTTACACCAGTCACCTGGGAATCATGGAGCATGGTACCATGTCCGCAATGCTATTCAACTACTTAGCACTGTCAAGTCCAGCATAACCCAGCCTGTGCGAGGAATAAGGTACAGCACGAGCCCTACTTTGGGCAGGCACAGTTAGTGAGGTTCCTGTCCAAGTCCTGTGCCGAAACTATGAGTGTGATATTCAATTAAACACTTCTTGTGTTTACTTTTAAATATATCATAAGTTAAGTGTGCTTACCTTGAACCAGGGAAAGTGCAGCCTTGTGTCGTTCCCTGACCGAAATTGTTCCACTCCACGTACGCTTCGAATGCCTCATGGTAACTCTTGCGCCACCTTCAAGGGGTGTCGGACAGCGCGGCTGGGAAATCGGTACGAAATGCGATTCTCCCTTGCTTTGATCGTCCCACGTGACAAGCACATGCACCAGTCCATTTCGCCTCTTGCACTCAGCTCTGGGAATTAATTGGGACCGCTTTCTTCCAGTCATGGCCGCAGACACGCCCACACGGCGGCGCTAGGACGCCGACACTGTAGCCAAGGCCGTATAAGTTACTGCAGCGAGATTTAAATGTCCAGATTTAAAGATCCGGCGTGCACGCGCTGTCATTTAAATGTTTTATTGGCTGGATCTAATTACAAAAATGTTAATCCGATACGCTATGCCTACCGCACTAGCCCAAATTTATACAATTTATATTATTATTTAAGGGTAGATACTAAATATAAAATACTTAATTTTATTGAACAATTAACGTACAGCAAGAAATCGCTAACTTAAAGCACGTCAACTTATGTTGCGTGATGAATTAATATAGAGATCCTCTGTAACGGAAGTTCGCGTTGATGAAAAGCGCATCATACCAAAGCTGCCGGCAAAACAAAGCAATAAAAGCGCAAGTACATGGACATACGCTTTTTTCCCGTTGTTTTATCGTTCGGAACTATGCCGTCTAAAAAGCGCATGTACGTTCCCCCAAAGGGACACAAAGCAAGAAAAGCGTATGTAGGGGAAGGTGGGGTAAGACGGACCAGCTAAGGTTTGAGGCCGCATATCTTGCTACACTGCTCTCGTAATTCATATTATTTATAGTCTTCGGAATGCTCAAGCCTTCCTCTGTTGATATGTGTAAAGACTAAATTTCAAATTAAAGACATCTAGGTGGTGGATGCTCTTAAAGAGGGACATGTCAAAAACTCCGACAAGAAAAAACGTGGGGTAAGACGGACCACCCAGCAGTGCCTGCTATCCGTTCATGTGTGTTACACTTCTGCTCTGTACTCTTGTAAGAAAAAGTAACCAGAATGGTAAAATAACAAAATGAGCCTTTATTCTTTACTCTGGAAGTGCAGCTAAAAGCTGGGAACATGTGTGTTTACTGTCGTTTGGCATGAATGCATGCTAACTGAGCACTTGCATGCATGGCTCACATGCAACAAAGACTGCTTCCTGAAAAATTAGCTTACTTAAACTTGTGTCAATGTTTTGGAAAAGAACTTTCCATATGCAGGGTACAATGGACCACCACAGGGTAAGATGGACCACAGTGGTCCGTCTTGCCCCAAATCTAAATTCTGTCATTATCATGACGTATATGTCAAATAGCCCAACATTGCAAAACCTTGTCTTTCCTAAAGTGTGACTATAACTAAGTTT